TAGAAATGAAAGCCATCAGGCTCTGAAACATGAAATCCTGAGCCTGAAGCCTGGCTTAGAAATGTGTCCCCTTCAAGATAACCTGACTTGATAAAATCCCACCAGTGAGAATCTCATGTACGACAGGGTGCATTTATCACCTCTCAGGTCATTTTCTTTAGTTTCTTAAATGCATTTTTCAAACTGGTTTTAAGTTAGTCCAACTGTCTCTAGCAGAGGACATTGAAAATATAACTGCCCTAACTATGACAGATAGCTAGCAACAGCTGTTGAAAACCCAACCCAGCACTGACTGGAACTGCCTCAACAAGGAAGTTATCCTTGCAAAAGCCACACACTCTGAGATCGTTGTCTTTGTGATAAGATTTCAACTGAAGTCAGTCCTGATAGTAACGTTGAGAAGGCCCAGCTTGCCATCTCCAATTTTTGAGCTAGAAAGCTTTCTGAGAAGGGAGAGCAAACCAAGGACATCATATATGTTTATTGATTCAGTTTCAATATTTCGACATTGACTCCACAGATAATTTTAGTTTCCTACACCGTATGTCACAACATGACTCTTCGTTAGCCACTGATGACATATCCTGGGCTTCATTCATGACTTTTGTCCTGATGAACGTGTTATTTCTGTGTAGGTAGATGACCCGGCAATATATAATGATAAGTGGGTGTCTGGGAAGGAACAGACTTCATAACAATAATCTAATCCAGTGCAGTTATTTCGCAGCTTATCTCAGTGCTCTTTTAATCCAGGCTTTTTCTTAAATACTGTATTTGCAATTTAAGCAGTGCCACATGCTGCCACCGCCGTTACAAAGATACATTAGATTGATAGAACGATGCTACATTCTTTATGACTGGAGATAATAATGACTTCCTCTGTTCGCTCTAATCATGTTTTTATGGTTTGTTTTCCAAAATACTGCATACTTGACCTTAAAAGGGGAAAAAGACTGCACATTTTCATTTAGTGAGTAATAAAAAGTTGTTGCTCTCATTTTGCATTTAAACCTATGGGGAATGCATTTTACTATAAGATATTTTCATTACGATCCCCAGGTCTCAGGCGATTCTGGCTGACTCTGGCTGCTTGAGGACTGTATGTCTCTGTAATTGAAAATAGATGTAGTGCACTTTGACCCACTTCACTTTCCAAGTCTTCTAGCTGAAAACCGCTTTCCAGTCTTCCAGGAGTTAGAAAGCCACTGTTTCTAAATAGAAGGCAATGACAAGTTCCTGCTTCATTTTCCTCCTTCTTTACTAAGTTACCTTTTAATAGTTCTCCCATTACAAATCCTAGAATAATGGGTGATAATGACACTGTCCAATGCGCCTTGTTTAAAAGGTAGAAGACTTCTAATGAGCTCCTCTCAGAAAAGTGCATTATTGGAACAGTTCGCTGCTTTCCAGTGTGTGTTAAGGAAACTTGTCCTCTCCACATATTTGGATCTCTTACATTAGGCAATTTGTGAGTCCAACATTATTAATATAAATGGAAATAACCCAAGCAAAATGCCAAGGACTGTTAAAATAAAACTGTCTTCAAATGTTATAAAAAGCACAATTGCTCTCTGTTCCTTTGGAAATGAAATAACAGTGTAGATAAGGCACAAACATATTTTGGAACTTGCCCTGTAGTTAGTTAATAACTTGGAATCTCCTAATTTTGGCTACATAGACCTTATTCCTAAGTTATGAAGTTGAGGGATAGAATAAGTATTTTTTAAAGACAGATTTACAAAATTCCCCACCAGTCAAATGTTTGGGCTGGTGGCTTTTAATAAAGCACATTACATTTGCCTAATGTAGTGTCAAAAGCCCTTCGAAAGTAATGTTGGCTAACAGTGAACTGAAACCCTACAATTTAGAATTCCTACTTTTATAGTTTAAGATCATATAATATTCATCTTTAAGAAGTCTTACAGAATTTCGAGTAATATGCTTAAGAAAATATATTTCTGAGAATCTGAATTCTTGATGAACTTCAACTTGCTGAATCTCTTTGTTTCTTTCATGGGCTGTGTGTAGGAGGGCATTCAGAGGTCTGTTACCCTCAGTGTGCTTCTTTGATCTTCAGGGAAGAATTGAGTGCATGTTCTTTAGCTTCTTTGCAGAATAAATTAGTTTTAATAAAACATGAAATAATCCTGATCCACCAAATACATTTCAGTCAAGAATTTGAAGTTCACATTGCTTTCCAACACAGTGTAGAAAAACATGCTTCACTTCTCATTGGGAGTTCATTGGCAAGTGTCAACTTATTTTCAAAATAATGAAGTTGACCAACTTTAAAATGTAATTAGAAATAATTAGTGACTAAAGTGTTACTATAAATCTATACAGAATCAAGAAAATGTACTGCTATTTTTTTTTCCAATACTAGGAATGGAACCCTGGGACACTTCAGCACTGAGCCACAGTTCCAGCCCTTTTAATATTTTATGTTAAGACAGGGTCTCACTAAGTTGCTTAGGGTCTTGCTAAATTGCTGAGGCTGGTTTTGTGATCCTTCTGCCTCAGCCTCCTGAGTTGCTGAGCTTACAGGTGTGTGCCATCATGCCTGGCTTGTCCTGCTATTTGCTAAGTTAGTGTTTCAGTTCTCATCATGGGCACTCAATCACAGCTCACTCTACGAGGGAGGGCGAAGAGGGAAACACAGGTGGAGGTTTGTGTGTAATGGAGGAATAAGAGTGAGAGGTGATTCTCTCCAGTGCCGTGTGCTGAGCACTGATCCCAGTAAGCACACAGGTCTCCTTTTGCAATGTGAAGTCACACGTTTGCTAGGTACACCACTCCTCGACCGTCTCGACTTATGGCTACCTCTACTGTCACAGCTCTGATGGCTGTCTCCCTAGTTGCTGCTTACCGTAGGTTGCCCAAGTAGGAAGCCATAGGGACTTTCTCATAGAGCAGTGGAAGGATTTACTTATAGCATCTTGGAGCAGCAAAGGATTTCAGAGCTCATCAGATCCAATCTCCTAATTTGATGAAAGAGGGAACTGAGACTCAGGAGGGTTAAGACACTTTCTCATGGACCCATTGCCACTAAAGGGCTCATCAGACTTTTGGACCCTTTCTAAGCATTCCAGGTGTTATTGGCATGGGTGTGTAGATTGTCTTTCCAGGGTCTGGGATCTTTGGATTAGGTGGATTTCCTTATCAGTTTTTATTGTTTTTAGGTATGCCCCCTTCTGCTTTCAGTACTTCTTGTTCCATTTCCTCTGGTGGGATCTGGATCTTTGCAAGACTCTTGCTGCAGCTCTGTTTGGGCTGGGGGGGGATGCTGAGAAATCAGACTAGAAGTTTGACATTCTGAGGCTCAAAAGAAAATAAATTAGAATTTATCGAAATGTACACCAGGAAGCTCAACCACAATACTGATGGAAGGACTAAGCCCGAGTCCAGAGCTCTTCCTGTGCTGTTCACAGGCCATTCTTTCATGCCTGCATTACCTATTAAATTTCAGAAGCATTTTTATTCAAGCCAGAACCAGAAGAATGAAAAGTTTATGAAAGGATCAAAGCATCTGCTTCTCAATTTTCTTGAGCTCTGGCATGAATCCCTTTACATTGGTGAATTTATTCATAGAAGTACATGTTCGTCAGAGAAAAAGAAATCTGCCAGTCTCCTTTCAGTGAAACACTTGTTTTTATCTGAGTTTGTGTGTGTGTGTGTGTGTATGTGTGTGCACACACGTGCACATGAGTGTATTAGGGTGTGATGATGAATGATACCTTTCAAAAATCTATATTTTATTTGGACTTGCTATGGCTTAACGCAGAACAAGACATCTTGAATTCAATATGAATATAACTTACCCTGGACACTTTAACAACATTTTGTAATTTTTACATCAATAACTATAGATATTGACAATATATTGAGACAGCTTCCAGTTGAACAATTGGTATTAAGTTACAGTTAGATGGGTACAAGGAGCTCTAGTGTGCTGTTGTATAGTAGAATGAATCTATGTAACAATAATAGACTATGCATTTAAAAAAAACTAGAAGAAAGGATTTTCGGAATCTTTTACCACAAATAATTGATAAAATGTTTGAAAGCATAAGTTTAACCTGATTTACACATTGCACAATGTATTGAAACATCATGTGGTATCTCATGAATACATGCAATTTTATGTACTTTCCTACAGATAAAAATAATTTGATTAGGAAAGAGACTGCCCCTTAAGATATTTGTTACAATGACTAAAAATAACCTTCTTGTCTTTTGACTTTCATCTTCATGAAGTTCACTTCTCTTGATGACAGCCGCAGGCACATTTGTGCCTTTTCTGGGTTTAAGTTTCTGTCATTATGTTACATAATAGGAGGGCTGCCCTCTGAAGCCTGTATGGGTACACTCAGTGCTGGTTTGGTTGACACAAATTAATTACAATTATAAATTATTACATAACTCTTCTATTCTTCATTGGGAGCTGTAGTTAAAGAGCTGGCACTGGCTAATTAACAGGCTTGATTCTGCCTTTTCTGTGAGGCTGGTCCATAAAGGATTGAATGCTTTCTTTCCTGAAACAAACACAAACAGCTTTGGAACTGTCAGAAATAACAGCAGCTCTTGAAGGCTAATCATTACCCGCTTTTGTCGTGTGGTTGTAATTGTTGCGTGAATTCCGCTTCAATCAGGGCAAAATATGCTTAAGTGCCAGTAAAAGTTTTTATGCTGCTATGAAATTTTGCAATTTATGGCTTTGTACAGATCAGCCTGTGTTACTAGGCAACACCCTATGTGTCGCTCACTCAAATTATTCCTTAATCCCTAGCATCGCTGTCAATTCCAGCTTAAAAGAATCCTAATGAACTATTAGAGGGTTAATTTCTGATGGAGAAAGTGAAACGGAAGTTGTGATGCTAAAAAAAGGAAGCAGTGTTTTTTAAAAAAATACACTTGATGGAAAACAATAAGAATATTTAGAGCTTAATTGTATTCACCTCAGGGGGAAAAAAAAAAGAGAGAGAGAGAAAGAGAAGAAGAGAGTGGTTCCAAATGGATTTAATGATCATGTAGTTCTCTGATTGGCCATTAAGCAGCCAGGTTTTGGGTACTTAAGCAATCATCTTGGCGATGCTGGTTTTAATTAAGGAGTACACTGCAGGATGTTCAATGACCAGGGAAGTGTGGTATCGCTGCTTGCTTGCTGTGCGTCCATATGCATTCGAGAGAAGATAAAACCCTGAAAAAGAGAGAACAGCCCTCTCCATCCATCTTTAAATGTAGTCTGCCAGAGATGGCTGTACCCACCGAATTTTAGAATCTACTCCAAGCCTCGGCAATCTCATTTAAACGGGCAAGAAATTGCGACTTGTGTCTCCAAGCAAATACCAAATTAAAAGGCAAGGGCAAGAACATGGACACGTCAGGGGTGTCTGCTGACTCTGAACCATCATAAAAACCCTAGAACCAGTGCTAGAATAGCGGTGGAAACCTTGGCTTGTGGCTTGGAAGTACTTTCTGGTTTGAATGCTTTTAGTGTTTTGAATTTCTGTTATTGCTCTCAAGCAGCTTAACTGATATTTTGAAAATAGCTACTAAGCCAAAAATAATACAAGTCATGTTTTGAGCGGAAGCTCCCCACATTTTATTTTAGTACAACTCTCCCATCTAGGAAATGCTTCCTAGGTGAGCGTGTAACAAGAGGGAGCTCTCCATCTGACCTGGCAGGAGGCGGGAGATGTGAGTTCCAACTCTGCCTTGAAGTCTGGCCTCAGGTACCAGATCTCATTACTCAAAGCGTGGACCAAGTAGCAGAGTTGAGAGGATCCCCTGGGGCTTGTGAGCCATACAGCCTCTAAAGCCCCACCCCAGATCCACAGGCTCTTACCCCCATCTATTCTCAGGTGAAGAGACCTAATGTTTTTGGACTTTGGGGAGCAGTGTCCTAGCAGCACAGTGCCAAAGAGGGGGTGACTTCCTCCTGCCACAGGCCCTTTGCATTATAGGCTCAGTGTCCCTCTGTCTGTGATCCCTGGGGCTATGGAAATTATCACTATGAAGAACTGAAAAGAACAAGCTGCTACTGAGCTGGGTTCAGCTTATCAGAGGAGCTCATACATGAAATCCCAGGCTCTCTCCTAATCACCTGCAAACCCACCTTCCCCTTTTCCCCTTGGCCATATCCCCGAGGGTCACTGTCATTTCTTCTGATTACCTTTGCTATTCTCAGGGCTGGAGTACAAGGTGAGTTTAAGAGCCCTAGAAATATCTTTGGCTCCAAATCTTTCTCCCTTGTCTTGATTTTTAGGAGTTGTGATTCGACCTCCAGTCTTTGCAGGGTGGGGTCCTGTGTTAAAACACAAAGACTCTGTCTTGGGCTTAATTCACCTTTCGGAGCTCCAGAATGGTGGGGCCAGCTACGGGAGTGTGGGGGTGGGGGGTGGTGAAGACCATGTCCTTTTCCTTTCCTAAAACTTATAATGTGTAAAACATTTTTTTTAGAGCCTTTCAGAAGAAAGCCTGATTTGATAAGGAATGAAGGGTGGAGACTTATGAAGGTAAATTATACCTTAAGTAAGAAGTAAGCCAAGTCCTGCCATTTTGGCTAGTGAAGAGGGTTGGGAATGTGGGGACAAAGGCTGCAGGAATGAAGCCAGGGATTGGATTGAGATCATTAGAATCCCCCTCCCCCTCTCCTTTCCTTCCCTCCTCCCCCTCCTCTTCCTCCTCCCTTTCCTCCTCCTCTTCTTCTTCCTTTTCTTCTCCTCCTCTTCCCCCTCCTCCTCCTCTTCCTCCTCCTTCTTTTGTTTCCTGAGTCTGTAGGAAACAGGAAAACCACTCCACCTCTTTTAGTTTCAACTGCTTTCTGTTGTACCCCGTGTCCTGTGTTTTCTCGTGGACAGCCTAGTTTTCAAGTTTCAGAGAAGAATCGAGCAAAAGCCCAAGTTAAGCTGCTTAAGAGGGGACCTGGGGCTTCTGTGGGCATCCAGGATGGAGGTGAGAGGTATGGAGGGTGAGGGGAAAATGATAAAGAGGACCTTGTGCTCCAAGAAGTTTCAGTCCTTTTGTCCTTCTCGAGCTGATTGGATGAAACAGAAAAAAAAAGTGCTTCTGAATGAATTTCTTACGAAGGTAAGCTTTGTTTTGCCAAGGTGGAATATAGCATGGATGCAGTTTATGGTTAAGGAGGAGCTCAGGAGGAACAGGGGGAATAGGAATGGGAAGAGAAGGAGGGAGGAAGGTGCCAAGCACTCCTTCCACCTGAGGAGGACACCAGGAAACTCTGCCCAGACCCTTACTTCAGGGCTGAGACCTAGTCCTCCAGGGCCTAGGATGCTTGGCTGTCAAAACCTCTCAGCTGAGTTTGTTTCTCTGGCCAGTGTTTCTTTGCTGCAGAGAGCCATCTAGGCCTTCCAGAGGACAGAGCACAACCAACAACTGGCCAGTGTGGGGCCTTAAAGGTCAGGTCCTTTGCCCCAGTTTGATGTAACTGTGCAAGGCTATTCGTTCGAGCTCCAGAATTCCCTGAGGGATTATCTGAGAGCTTCATTGAGACTGTATTTCTGCATCCCAACCTCCTCTTCTTCCCAGGCCTGCTGCTTTTCTTTCACATAATTCTGCAACTTGCTGTTTGGCTCCAGACAACATAAATGAGCTCCAAATGTATCTAGGTATTATATCCTACACTTATTCTGAATGTTCTGGTAGCGATATTCTGGAATCTTTAATAGACTCACCAGATTCCATAGTGCTGGGCTCAGAAAAATTGCAGATTTTACTTGAAGCAAGTTATATCTTACATAATAAGATAACATTTTTACCTTCTGGAAAAAGTATTCAGAGGATGGTTTCATTTGGTCCTGACTTAAAAAGTGGATTCTGAGCTCTTAGAATGGCAGAATGCAAATGATATCATAAAAACACCCTTTAGGAATGTTTCTGGTTTTACTCTCTCGTATTAATATACTTGAGTTAAAAAAACAGGGAAGGAGTTGCAACCTTGGCATAATTGTCCTTCCAAGGTCCAGATAAGGCCCTTAATAATCAGAAGAGTATGAAAGAACATAGAATTCAAGGGTGCAAAAAAATCAATCTCTAATTTCTGTAAAATTAGCCACCTGCTACCAATATTTTAAAGAGTATGAGGTTATATTAATAACACTGATAATTTCCATGCTTATGTGAAGGTCAATGGAGAAAATAGTTCATTAAAACGGGTACTTCTATGTATTAGCTACATAATGATTTGCATTTTGAAAAAAAGGCATTGTTTTAATATGTTTAAAAATTCTGCAAAAATGGTGGAACACGAGAACTTCATAAAAGGTAAGCCCAATGATGTGTTAAATGAATACAACAGGGAATAGGTGAGAAAGTGGCTGGACTTATGCATCTGCTGGATGGATCCCTGACTGTGCCTTCACAAGGGGCTGCCCACACAGCACAGACACTGCGACACAGGAAGAACTGGATGGTCCAGGGCAAGTGAGAACAGCGGAAACAACACATCAGACTAGCAGGAAAAGGAAAATCAGGAGCGCTCATGAAGCATGAATTTTGAAAAAATCAAATTATGAAGGTGCTCTCTACTCCATGGAGGAACTTCTGTGCTTCTCACCATTCTCACATTACTATTTGGTGAAGTGTTTTTTTTTTTTTTTTTTTTTGGTGGTGCTGGACATTGAACTCAGACCCTTGTGCATGCAAGGCAAGCACTCTACCAGCTGAGCTATATCCCCAGCCCATGGACATTACTATCTGGGAAGCATGACTTGTCAGTGATAGGGGAACAATTCTTTACCTTAGCAGTATGGAATTTCTCCTGAAGAATTTCTCTAAGGAAAAAGCCTGACAATCTGCTTGGGGGAGAAAATGGATCTCTGCATGGTTGACATTCAACAAGGGCCACTCCTGGGATGAAAGACTGGGATGCATTGTGTGAGAAACTGGATATAGGATTTGCTTCCCTAAGAGAAGTGGTGATTAAGGAAGAATGTGGGTAAAGAGGGTGATGTATGAGATGGGAGTGCAGTTTGGTACTTCCATGAGGTCTCCAGGAGAATTGTTCAGAAGGACACAGGACTTTTTGAATCAAGGGTGTCTCTTGACACAGCATGCCATGTGCTGTGTCTGCCTGTTTGTGTGTGTGTGTGCAGGTGTGTCCAACATAGAGGTGTCCCCTGTCTGTGTCACATAGAACAGGGGTGTCTTACAGCCTGTTTGGAAGGATGAGGTCATCTCTAAACTGAACAGAAGGCAGGTGGTTGAAACTAGGAGAGATCAAAGTAACATCAGCTCCTCAGGCTTCTGCAATGATTATCAGAGATCTTGGGCTTTCTCAGGGAATCTGAGCAGATCTCATCTAAGGTTACAGTGGACTCAGAGGTTCCCACTCACAAAATAATGACATCATTACCCCTGTGAAGTGCCTTGCTGGATGACTCATGCCATCGTACTGGATGTCCTTCCATCTTGGTGTCACGTTCTTGTCATTTACAGAAGAACATTGCAAAAGAACCACACCTGAATCTGGCCTAAATGAAAAATGATGCTTAAAATGATCCATTATGTGACTCTCTGTCTCCATCCTCAATACCATGTGGGAAAGTTCATAGGGAGTTCCGGGCTGAGCCCATGGCTGGGGGCCCTGGTCTGCTCTTGCTTTGATAAAAAGGGTCATGAATTTAGTGACACCATCTTTTCTTCCCAGCTACAAGAAGCCCAGAATCCAATGTTTTTCTCCATCATAGTAACTATTTCGCCCAAGCAGCCAGTGATTGTGCTTCTCCTTTCTGTGTGTGGTTCTTTGGTCAGATTTGTTTTGTATCTCCCTGCTTTAAGGGGCTCTTCACTGAAAGCCACTCCAATCACCTATGGAAGCATTGGGAGTAAAAATAAAACACACCTTTGATTTTGTTCAAGAAAAGTTTTCATTAGAATCATGTAGATGCTAAGATACTGCAAAGTGCCCGTTGGAGCTGGCAGTAGCACTACAGGCTCAAGTGTCCTTTCTGCACTTGGCATCTTGTCTTCTCTGAGGATTAGCTGCTCACTGGGAGCTGCACCTTCCCTTTTTTTTGACCCCCATGGGAGTGGGGATTTATCCATGGAGCTTTACGTCATGCTGCCAGCTGCCTTTCCCCTAATATTTGCAAGTGACTTTGTAATCTATCACTCTGCACAAGTTTAATAGATCTGCCTACTTAGCCCCAGAAATAACACTGTTTGTTTTTTCTGCCATTTTTCCCACAGAGTAGGCTATGTGGACAGGGTTTACATGCAATACAGTTTGAGAAGGTGAGAGAACAGAGACAGGTAAGAGAAGGAGGAGGTGCATTAGGGGTTACAAAAGTTGAGGGACCAACATTTCATTACTTGCCACAATACACTGCAGCTAATCCATGTAGCTTAAGTCTATCTTTCCTTCTTTTTCTGGCCTAGGGATTCTCAACCTTGCCATGATTGACATTTTGGACCAGATAGTCTTTTGTTGGGTGGGACTGTTCTGTGCATTGTGGGATATTTAGCAGCATCCCTTGGCCTGTACCCACGGCATGCCTGTATATCCTCCCCTAAACGGAGACAAGCAAATATGTTTAAACATTGCCAAATCCCCCTGGGAAGGCACAATTGCTTCCGGTTGAGAATCGCTGTTCCACCCATCTCCAAGTCACATCCCTGCTGGCAGATGCTTTGTGGCTGCTGAGCTTGAGTCATGTTGTGGTCCTTCCCTCAACCTGCGGCTGGATGGCCTTGCTTTAAATATTTTATGAGCAATGCTTTTTTCTGCATGTTTTACAACCAGGAAGAAAAAAAGCTAAACAGCATGTTCTGCCTGTTGCAACTTTTCTTACCTGTACTGTCTTGAACAGCATCCACTTTGAGGAGGTTCTCAATGATGCTGCTAGAACTATCCTCAGGCCTCAGCAGCTGATCTAACCACCTCCATCCTCCAGGCCTCTGCGTTGAAATAAATCTCACTTTCGTTTTCATTATTCCCCTTCTTCAGCTAAATCTACTGCCAAATCTGGACTGTGTCTCTTAAAAGGAAAGCTCAGAATATAATTTGTCTTTCTTCAATATAATTTTTCAAAAGAACATCATTTCACTGGGCTATAAGAAGGTAAAATTTTGACATGAAAATTAATTTAGGAATTTCCTTCCTGCTCTCATTTAGTAAATGCTATCCAAATTCTTGGCTGCAGAAAAGACCAGAGCATTTAACTAATCACTGCGACAGTGAACAGTTGTAGCCTGCTTATTTGCTAGACCCAATATGAACTCATCCAAAATCAAATTACAATAAATGTAAAATCCAGTACAATGGTGTTTAAGGTCAATTGGTGTTTTCCATTAGTGAGCTCTTTTCAAGGACAAAGACTATAGAAATCCTAGCTTGAAATCCAGTAAATGTGGCCTAAGACAAAAGTTAAATATTATATTGATTTCAGATAGATAGGTACAAACTATATTTTGGGGGGTACTGACATGATTCATAACTCATGATGCCACTTTGGGGGCAGGGAGGGTGTGGAATATGGCAGTATAATTTATCATGGAATTTGCAGGTAAATGGATGAAGCTGGAGAATACAATGCTAAGTGAAATTAGCCAATCCCCCCAAACCAAATGCCGAATGATTTCTCTGGATACTGATACATAATATACTGTGTGTGGTGGGGGGATGGGAGGATTGAAGGAACTCTAGATAGGGCAAAAAGGAAAAGGGGAGGGAGGGGAAGGGAGGGGGAATGGCGGTTGGAAAGATGGTGGAATTCGATGGTCATCATTACCCTAGGTACATGTAAGAACACACGAAGGCTGTGATTCTACTTTGTGTACTACCAGAGATATGAAAAATTGTGCTGTATTTGTGTAATATGAATTGTAATGCATTTTGTTATCATATATAATAAATCAAAATAAAAAAAATAGCAATTAAGAGCCCAAATTCTAGAGACACAGTCAAATTTCAACTCTTACATCTACCAGTCACGTTCTATTGAACAGATTATGCACGATTTCTAAGCTTCTTTTTGTCTCATTGAATAACAACTGAATGGACATGACGGGTTGTCGTGAGGACTGAATAATAGAATGCATTTAGGCAGAGACTTCTATGCCTGTCCTATGGTAGGAATTTGGTGAAGGATAGCTATCATAAATTCAAAGAAAATTGGGTTTGAGTGGGTAATTTTGATAGGAAACCCATGCTCAACTGCACTAAAAGTAAGCACCCATGTGGAAATATGGGGACATTTCTGAGAGAAGATGGAACAGGACTACTCAAGGAATGATGTCAGGTGATGTAAGGTGATGTCAGTGGAAATGTCTTTCCCCCTATTTTCCACTTACTATGTGAACAAAAAAGAATTGCAGTGGCATGGTAAGAGAATAGCCTGCATAGCCTCTGGCTAATGCACTCTGCTTCATGTTCATGGGTAGTGCTCAGAAACTTCTCTGCAGCAGCAGTGGCCATGGGTCAGAATGGGACCTCCACTGGGGGTCTTGTGTCATCCAGAGCTGGCTGACCCCCAGCTGGTCTGCTCAGTAGTCAGTGTGGGGGATGCTCTGCTCTGGTGACCTCTGGCACTGCTTCTCCCTGTTGCCTAACACCATCCTGCTTTCCATCTGCCATTTGGAGGATTGAACCTTATTTGTTTATTTCTGGAAAATTATCTTTTAGCAACAGTATGTGCCCATATGGCATAGCAGAGCTTTATCAGGCATGGCAAAGAAGTCCCAGGAGATATATCCCAATTCATTTGGAGGTTCAGCCCAAATCTCTATTTTTTCATCTTGTTTAGTTTTTCAAAATAAGCTCTATAGGACTTGGAAAGAATCAGGACCTAGGCCTCAGGGTACACATGTCTCATCATCATTTATATTCTTGAAGCAAAGTAATCACAATAGCAAACTAGCTTTTAATAGTTCGAAATTAACATCATTTATTCACCAAATTTATATCTCTTGTGTGTATAGATAAATATTTTTTTTTATCACACTGCTTGGAGGGTAAATCTTAAGGTCTTTAAACTCTTAGAGGCATATTTACTCAATGCTTCCTTGTGTATGAATGATTTAAAATGAACTATTATTAGAACTAAATTGTCTCATTTTAAGCTACTGTCTTTTGGGAAAAAAAAGGTGGTAGGGAGCACTAACAGGATTTCTGTTTCTGAATCTTTTTGATTATGAAAATTGTTTTAACCTCAGTTGTATCATTTCCTAAGCAAGGGGGTTTGGCTTAATGAATGGATGGCTTTTTCCATTGAATTTGGCAAGGTAGAATGCTATGCTTGCTGGTTCTATGAGATCCAGAGAACTCCCAGAACCCTGACTAGTGAGGAAGGTCCAGGAACAAGGTGTGTGGTACTCATTTTCTCTATTTTATGACTTCATAGTCTAAATCATTTTTACTATAATATGCAGGCAACAAAATAGTATTTCACTAAGGGGGAGATAATAGTAGGTATTGTAGTAACTTCAGTCCCAGCTGGGTATGTGTCCTTCTACATCACCACACCCCTTCCCCTGTAACACACACACTATGAGATATCCTGGCTTTTACTCTTTTACAAGGAGACATACGAAAAAGGGGGTAGTCCACCTGATCCTTATTTGGGTAGAGATGGAGAAGTTTTGGGACTTAGACAATGTAACTCCTCCTGTATAGCCACTGAATGATGTGCTGCACACTAGAAAATGTGAATTCTTATAAATCATAAGCAGAAAGAAATGCCTGCAGATCTTAGCTGTGGATCCCTCAGTTAAAGATGTGGAGGTTGGGTCCAAAGTAGGGGGTAGCCAGAGATACAGAAGGGCATCAGTAAATCAAGCGTCACCAGGGCTCTTCTGCCTTTTCTGTTCACTTCCCTCTCAATGCAGATTGCTTCTTCCATGCATGGGAGACATGGCTGCTAATACAACCTCTGGTTGGTTTGGGTTCAGACCCAACATAGCCCCAGGGACCTGCAGCTCTCCCACGTGGTCTGAACCCTGGGAGACCTCCTGTCCACTCCTCAGTCTCTCTGTCTCACTTTCTCCTGATTTATCTTTTTTTTCTACCCTAGGGAATCTCATCTCCAAATATCTCAGGGTGGTTATTTTCTTTCATCTACCACTTTTATGACCTCCTTAAATTGTTTTTCTCTTCTCTGGATCTCCAGGTTGGCATGTATCAGCTGGAGAAAAACTACAGCAATATGCAGAGTAATGAAACTGAAAATCTGTGTTATCAAACTGTGCCAGTCTTTCCTTAGCTTGGCAATCAAGTACTTGTCACTTGGCTCTCTTTCATGTTGCCTGCTACAGCTGATTCAAAGGCCTTGCACACATTATATGCTATGTGTGACACAACTCTACTCCCCCAGCACAAAGTAGGAAACCATATAAAAGTGATTGAACTTATGAATGATTCTATTGACTGAAAAGATGGATTTGTTCATGAGGGAATAAGATTTAGGATATACTACTTGAATTCTGCTGGGCATCTATCTAGATCTTTATGGAACATAGTCTTTTCTGCATAAACTTCAAGAATATTCCACAAATAAGAACTGTACCTAAACTCTACACATGTTCATGAAGAATGAATCATGTCATCCTCCCCTGACAGTTTGGTAAGTGAATCTCAACTTCAATGTTAGGTGGTATTACTGAAAAAGCAAGAATAATCTTCAAGGTTATAAATATTTCACAAAAAGAGATGGGGGTAAAATGACAATATAATTTGATGAAATTAAAACAAAAATGAGATATGCAACGTGAAATTCATATCAGTTACTAAATACATGAGCTGGAGGATATCTGAATACAACTACCTTTCAGAAATTGCTTCAGCTATAACCTATCAAATGGTTCAGCAAGTTTAAAGTACTTGCACCCCCTTGGATTCAAATAATTATTGAAAAAAGGGTAAACTGTTAGGAAGCTGACCTGAAGGGATTTCAAATAGGACAAGCTTATAGTATAATTTGGGATGAGCTAAAATTTAATTTTGGGAGTTAATCTCTTTATGAAAATAAAGAAAACTTGGAATGAGTGGCAGGCATTATGTTAGTGAAATTAAAAAATAATAGGCCTCTCTGAATGACCTCTTCACCCTTGGCCTCCGCCAGCTGTTTTATGGTCACCTGAATCCTTTGGCTACAATTTATAGAATAGAATGAGAACACCAGCCTACCCCCGCCCCTGACCCCATGGGCCACACAGGAGCAGAGAGACAGGTGGAGAAGGCGGCAGCCACCCATGGCAACCTTATGTGACCAGGGCTTCTTCAGGCCCAGTTCCATCCCCGCCCTTGTGGCCCACACCTGGATCCTTCCAGTAAATTTCTTGTTTTTGCTTAAACTTAGCGAACACCCCTTGGTGCTGAGGCTGTGGTGAGATTCGTTCACACACAGTTGGTGGCATTATAAATTATTACAAGTTTCTGGGAAATACTTGGCAATGTGTATTAAGAATATGAAAATGTTCAGAGTGTCTACTCAGTTGGGCCACGTGGAGGAGGGTGAGGAATTATCAGATTCATCGCTCAAGGGCTCATCTCAGTGTGATTTATAACACTGAAAAATAGTCTGAAAAAAGTTAAATGTTCCAATTTGGTGACTAGCTAACTACATCAGGGTGTGTCTGTATTTTGTAACATTGTGAAAATACTAAAGTGTTTTAGCAAATATTTAATGGGTTAGAAAACTACCATGCTATCATGTTAATCTAAAAAAAAATTGTATACAAAATTCTGTATGCATTATGGCTCCAGTGTCATAATTTATATATGTATATGTGTATGAATACAAAAAAGTAGAAGCAAGTAGGCAAAAACATTAAAATGATCATTTTTGAGTTGGGAAACTAAAGATGACTTTTTTTATGCTTTTCTATGTCTTCTAAATTTCCCACAATGATCACATATGTAATTAGAAAAATCCCACTTAAAATTCATGAATAAAATTATGTATTATTATTATTATTTTGTGTGTTTAGGGCTGGGGATTGAACCCAGGGCCTTGTGCATGCAAGGCAGGCACTTTACCAATTGAGCTATATCCCCAGCCCCAAATAATGTATTATTTAAATTTTATAAGAAATAAGAATTATTTTTGCTATTGTATGGAAAACTAAATTTCAACACAATGTGTTTATTCCATGTTGTTCAGTAAGGGAACAATTTTCTTTGTCTTTTCAATGGTGGGATACAAAAATTGATACCTAGCGGAATTAAGCTATCAGTTGAGTGAAACTTTAAATGAAAATACAATCATTCTTATCCACATTTATCCTATTTTAAAAATAAATAAGCATCTCTATTAAGTAGTGAACACTAGATACATTACAATAAAATTATTTTATTTCAAGGTAAATATAACTTTTCCAGCTTTTAATCAAACAACAGCAGTTTAGAGATGTACATATATATGTAGAATATATACTTTTTAAAAAACAGTAAGGCATACTTTATGACATATAATCTTTTAACCATAAACTATACACATTTCTCAGATATGAAATGGAACTAACAGGACTAGGAAGACAGAGCCACCAGGGATCTGGATAACAGCTTTACAAATAGTTTTAACTTTTATGCAATGACTTAAGTGACAACATTGTACAACTAAGCCATCTGGCTGGCACAGTTTTGGTAGTGTGGATCTCTAAGACACTGACTGAATTTCACGAAAGGTTCTGAAACTTGATAACTACTGCTTAGCTAGTCCTTGTACCAAATGCGTAGTAGCAGGAAGGAGTGACCACCGTTGCTAATGGCTAAACAGGCACCAAAGCTTCACTGCCCTGCGGAAAATGGGCAGAGCAACTTTGAACTCCCAGGGATCTTCTGTTGCTCTTCTGAAGGTTGAACATATCCTAAGTACCTTTATGTGGAAATTAAAAAAAAAAAAATGACAGAACAAGAGGAGATGGGAGATTGCATTTCTGCCGGTAAAATTTTCCTAATTAACACATCCATCCAGTTTGTGATATTGTTCTGGGAGCAGCGGTGATCTGTTTAAGGCAAACCATGGGAAAGCGTGGCTTTGCTTCATTTTGTGGCAAAGGGAAAGAAAAGCTTTTGTTCAGAGCTTTAGAAAAGGAGCATCAGTGCACTTAATCAGCGATCTGCTTACATTCAGAAAAGAGGCGAGTGCTCATTCGGTAGTGAAGTGCTATAGAGGAATGTTTCCCTAGCTCTTCCTTTCACAGGACTGCTTCACAGACTTGTCACTCGATCTCAAAAGGCGGTGGCGCCGACTTCTTGGTGGAGGAGCTTAAATTATCGGAGTGGCGGTAGGAGAGCGTGCTCATTTTGGTTGATAGATTTGAGTGGGTCTTGGGCTTTGGGGGAATGTATTTCAGAAGCTGGAGAAAATATTTTTTAAATTTCTTCCCCAGAAAGCCATAGAAAAGAGGATTGAGGCAATTGTTAAAATAAGCAATGCATATGGTGATGGGCATGGCTGTGTCCACAATATCTGAGATTTTACAGTTGCGTATGACGCCCAGCTGAATCAGCACATCCAGGAAGGTGAAGATTTGGTGGGGAACCCAGGAGAAGAAAAAGAAAAGCACAATTGCCATGATGATCTTAAAGATATCATCATTTCTCGGCTTGTTCTTCTGGATGGCATAAGCCTTCTTGAGGGCCTTCCAAATCAGAGTGTAACTTGTCAGAATAATCAGAAAAGGAAAGATGAAACCCAGGACGTTTTTGGTCAGGCCCATCCCGACGGGGACAATTGAGTTGTTGGCCTCATAATGGAAAGCACAAACCGTGACATTGGTGTTCTCGATGAAAAAGACATTTCGGTGGATGACAGATGGCAAACTGGCCAAGCCGGCCAGCAGCCATATAATGATGCAGGTGACTTTGGCCACAAGCATTGTGCGTCGGAGGCGAGATTTCATGGGGTGGACGATGGCCAGGTAGCGGTCGATACTGAGACACGTGAGCAGAAACACACTGGCGTAGAGGTTGAAACTGACGCTGGCCGAAGCAATCTTACACAGGTAGTTGCCAAAGGGCCAGCGGTATTCCATAGCAGTGTAGACAGCCCACAGCGGCAATGTCAGCAAAAAGCAGAGGTCAGCCAACGCTAAATTCAAAAGGAAAACACTGGCCACGGTCTTCATTTTCATGTAAAAGTAAATGACGATCACCACCAAGCTGTTTCCAAATATTCCCACCACGAAGATGATGCTGTACAGAGTAGGAATCATGATAAATATGTAATTGTGCCTGCCAGCTTTGGGGCAGTCGTCTTGGATTCTTTTAATACCATCATCTATGGAAGAGTTGAGGTTCATTTTGATTTCTTGAGTTGAAACAGTGTCAGATGCTATATCAAATGCTCCTGGTAAAAAAAAAAAAACAGAAATAACAATGGAAAATATTTTAACTTCTCACTGTCAGCAGTTTTATTTTTCAATCATACTCAACCTGATTCTTATAATACATGTTAAATCACATTTTCCTGAAGAAAGACTGTGAACTGATAAAAGTCTAGGATTGCATCTTTAACTGTAGAATATTCTGCTTTTGCAGGAATTCATAAGCATCCTCCAGAGACATGGAAAAGAGAGTCCAATGTGACTAAAACTGCCTAAAGATTTTGCTTTTATATTTTTCTTACAAGTAAGTCCTAGCTTCTAAGTGAACTGAAAACAATCGAAATCTTAGAAAACACTGCTGAATTAATCTAGTTATTCAGAACAACTTGAAAGTTTCTCCTGAGGTAAGTAAGACTAATTAACTTATCTTTAACCCCAGAAGTATGGCACAGCTGTATCATATTCTTCAAACCATGTATTTCATCTCACAATATTTACTTAGGTATAAAAATTTCCCTTAAGTGGTCAGAATATCTGCTTTTAAGTTACTGAGAAACTGGTCATTGTGAGAATATATTTGAAGAGAGGTTGGAGGGAGGGCTCAGCTCTTGGGAAGAGCATTTTTTTTCTCCCCTGGTTTTACAAGCTGCTACTGGCTATAACTACTTATTCTGTAATTTCCAACTTAGAACTTCTAAAACATCCCAAATCTTCCCGCATTCATTCCTGCTAGCTGTTTCTGGAGCTAGAGATGGCAGCAGTTCTGTAAGATCTTAGGAAGAGTCAGATTCTCGGGAAGAGCACCATGCTAACACTTTCTGTGTTAAACCACCAGAAAATCCTGCCAAAGAGGCTGAAGGTAACCTCACAGGGTGTGCTACAGGTGAGCTCTGAGGGGAAGGGCAGCACTGGTCACAGGTAAGGACAAGCAGGCAGGCTGATGGTGCTGGCACATAGATCCTATGTCTAAACCTGGAGCAGATCCCTAGATGTGAGTGGCTGTGCATCCCCCATAGCAACATGCCCTGGGGAAGAAGAGGAACAAGATCAAGACACTCATGGTCTGCCTAGCACGGCTGGGCTTGGCCTCCAGAAAAGCTGGACACACATTCTAAGGGGAGTGTTCATCCTGGTACAAAGGAGTGAGGCAAAGGATAAGACCCAGTTGCTGGCTTTTAAGGAATAATGCATGATTTGAAGCCTGAGAAGTATTATTATCTGGAACACTAACAGACACCCCTTTTTATTTTGTAATATGATACTTCAAAAAATCATTTTGTACCTCTGCCTTTCTTCAAAGTATACAGTGGATTCTCATGCAACACACCCATGTATTCTGCATTTGGGAAATGTTCAAGTTCCATGGGAAAAATAACAACAAGTAACAAAGGAGATAATGCATGAGAAGCAGAGTTCCCAAGTAGCCTTTTACCTTCCCTCAGTAGGTGAAGTTCTCTCCAACTCTTTGGTTCTATGTCCTCAACATTTTTTTCTTTTGCACTTGGCTTTGTGCAACCTAAATCTTTCTTTTTGTCTCCTTTCACTCATTTAGCAGCCACACACTAGCACTATCAACCCCTCATCACATCACATGCAGCCTTCCCCACATTTCCAAGTTTCTTTGGAACTCTGGATACGGGTGGGAGACTTGAGTCATCCTGACATCTCTGTCTTCCCAGTGGCCGGTCAGCTGTGGGAGAGGGGCCTGCTGGAATCATCCTGTCTACTACTACAGGTTCTGGTATATTCCAGGAGTAGATGATAAAGGAACCATGGAAACGAAATGAGTGACTAGCTGAAACTTGATGCTGTGAGCTCAGAGTGAGGAGAACAGTTTCTACAGGGCTTCTGAAGCCAGTTTACATACTGCTCCTCATAGTATCGCAGAAAGCACCCGGTGTCAACCTGAGCCTCATGAGGGACAAGCAAACAAAAAACAAACTTTCAAAAGACCCCTGGCACCGTGTGGAGGAAACAGAAGATACAAAGAAGGAATAGTTTCATAGAGGCCAACCAGGCTTTTAGGAGGTATGACTAGTTCTTCCTTACTTGCTTTCTTTCCATTCCTTTCAATATAGTTATTGAATTCATGCCAATTTAGAAGTATAATTTCCTTGGATAATTATTCTTTATTAAGAGTTAATTACTTCACCAAAGTCTTATGGGCTAGTAGTCATTTATGCCTCAATAGAGATTAATTTAACCATCTGCTTTTCTCTTAACTTCTAGTTGTGACCAGCTGGGTTTTGCCTGGGGAGGGAGGATTAGAAATATCAAAGAATGTCAAAGGTTGAAAAGAGCCTGGTCGAACTGAAAATATGGTCAGAGGTCAAATATTTGGCTCAGCTTGGACTTAAAGGCACACATCTCCCCCCACACACAAATACAGAATACACGGGATGCGTTGCGTGAGAATCCACTGGGTACCTGAGTTGCTAGAGCAAGGAGGACATTCTCTCCTCTGTTTCCTCTCTTGACCCTACTTGGAGGGCCCATAAATCAGACTGCGTCCATTAATCCTATATTTGTAGGACATAAAATTTTATTACCTAGCCTGAAACATATAATGGAATAGGGTAGGATCAAGTTTGCATATGAGAACCAATTTAAAAGCAGAGTTTTGGGATTCCAGCTTTTTCCCAAGCGGGGCTGAACCTCTTCCACAGTCCATGCTAATTCACACTCACCACTATGTCACGTGTTGGAATCTACTCTGAAACTTCAGTGATGTATTTATCATTGTAATGAGCATATCACCCGAGGTACTCTGCCCAAAGAACTGAATATATTAATTAGAAGGACATTTTACATAATATTTTGTAGAATGACCAAGATTCCCTAACTAATAAGGAAACACATTTCCTCCTATCTGAGAGTGCAGAAAAGGGAGAGAGGAATTTTAGGGGTTGTTACCAGAGCAAAACCAAGAAAGCACAAATGTAATTAGTGCATTCAGCAGGCACTGACCATTCATCATACAGTCACTGAACACCTGCTATGTGTGGGTGTCCAGGATGCAAAATGAATCAAGTCACAGTCCTTCTCCTCCTTGGCAGTGTTCAAGTCTGGCTGGGGGGGACAGAAGCCTTAGAGACACTTCCTCTCTCCAGTGTTGAACGCTATACCATACCTGAGGGATGTGGGATGCTCTGACCAGCTTGGTGGGAAGGGGAAAAGAATCGAGAGAGCACTTTGACTCTTTGAGGTGAGGTGATGACTGAAAAGCACCCAGCCAGCTGTTCAGATGGAGTCGAGACTGTCACTCCTTGAACTTTCACCTCCACAGCAATGTCTGCTAGTCACCTAGGGAAACTGCTTTTGAAATGTACAAATCTCGCGTCACCCTCCTGGAACTGTTGGGTGTGAGCATGCCCTGGGCCTTTCTGGATGGAAAGGTGACATGGGCCAGTCTGCAGTGTGCACTGCTGCCACTGATGAGCTTCTCCAGAGGAACCAGTCCTCAGGAAAGTGGGAAAAGTAGAACTGCTGAGATTGGTAGCTGTCTGAGATCGGGGACAAGTGAGTGACAAGGCGTGGGGCTCATTGCCACTTGAAGCTGAAAGGATGCTGTTTTGGTGAGAGCTGCAGAAGGGGAGATGGGGTCTGTTAGAAACACTGCAATTGTGAGTCTCAGAAAACAAAGACCCCCTGCTTCTCTTCCTAACAACAGGGCTGTGAACAGGCAGAACACTGACGAAAACACAGGAGTCAGTGGTACCAAGTTACAGTCAGGTAGGAGAGAGCAGTTCTGGGGTGCTGCTGCACGGTGGGGTGATTAGATAATGATCACGTACATCTCAGAAAGCTAAAAGGATTCTGAATGTTTATGTCAGAAAAAAAAAAGAGAAATCTTTGGGGAGATGGATATATTTAACCTGATCTCAGCATTACACCATAGAAACATATGCTGAAACATCACATGGTACCCCGTGAATGTGTACGATATTAATGTATCAGTTAAAAACTAAAATCTAACCATGATTTAAAAATCCAAAAAGGAGTGACCTCTTCCTATTTGTCCTATTCCAGATCTTGCTATAGCTTTTATCCAGGCTCTGTGGGTGTACATGAATTCCATAGCAATCTTTTGCCCCTAGGGGGAAAATATGTATTTGGAGTTAAGAGATCCTAATGGAATCATCCTGTGCCACTTACAAACCCATGTAGCTCTGGGTAAGTCACTTCATTTCACTGTGAGCCTCAGATTCCTCATCTGTCAGATTAGAATGGTGATTCTTATTGCATATGATTATTGTGGGAATTAAATGAGATAATGTGAAAGTACTGGGGATATGTTTCAAATAGTGTTTAATACATGTTTTATTTGAATCTTTACTATTATTTTCGAAAGCAAGGCAAACACTGACTCAGAATAGCCAATGGTAGAGAAAGCATGAGAGAGTAAAAAAAGTTTATCACTGGTAAGTTCTTTATGTTAGCAATAAAAGGCTAAAAATTCCAGGCAGCTATTCTTCTGAAGGATGGGTAAAAATAATCTTAAGCAGCTGAGCAAATTTTCCAGGAGTCGGGTGGGAACCTTCAGCCTGCGGCAAACACAGAGGCTCATTCACTGTGCCCAAAGCACATCCATGCACTCATTGCTCGCTTTTGGAGGAGTTGTTTTATATTCCTTGACAGTTTCCTGGGTTCTCGAACACAAGCTTGAGAAAGAAGATTTTCTGTCTTTATTATTCTAATACTATTTCTCTAAGACTTTTGATTAGAATATTAATCCCTTCTTGTGCTTTTAGGCAAGCCAAAGCCAATCTAATTGAATTGTTCATTATAAGCATCTTTTCTAATGAGTTTGCAATCTAAAGGAAAAAAAAAACACTCCATGGGTTCTTATGATAATAAAGAGAGAATGGAAAGACCAACTAATTATATTTTCGAATCATCTTCTATCAAAGTCTCTCTCTCTCAAATATCAAAAAGTGCAGGCCAGTGTTCATAAGTCACTGGCTTGCAGGGTTGGACAGCTCAATAAACCATCCTGTTCAAAAACCATTCTCTTTATTGCACTTATTTTATAATTCAGATTTTAAAAAGCATCTGTTTCTCTTCCTATATCCCCCCTCAACCCTCAGAAATGCTGTTAGTAAGCCATCCATTTGCAAATTCATCAACTCATAGATATTGGCACTGAAATTTGTAAAGTTTCTACTTGTTTCTTTTAGAAATCTATTTGTCCTTATTTCTTAGCATTCTGTGTTTTATGGGCTGTATATTTTCCTTCATCTCCTCACATATTTGGAATTTCTGTTTGCTAAGAGCCCCTACCAAATTGCTCCATTACTTGCAGCTCCTCAGATATAAACTCTATATGTCACATCTTTGGATCTACTTTCTTGGAATTTGCCTTCCTCTAAGATTAGTAATCTTGGACTATGAATTCATCTTGGGAGCCTGTGAAATTTCTGCTTGGGTGCACAGGGTGTAGAAGTCAGGGACCCTAGACTCACATACTGAAAGCAATTGAAAGTGGGTTTTTGGGTAAAATCATTAGAACTTAATCTAGCTGTGTACGCTGTATTAGTCCTTCTCTGGTCCTGTGGTCTTAACTCAAACAAAGCCATGGTCCAATATTTTGTGTTTGGAACAGGAAGAAGCATTTCCATGCCTGTTGAGTCCATTACCTTCATCTGGACAGATGTTGCCCTAATATTCTTTGTACCTAACACTTAAGTTACTTGAACACCATAAGCTATGGATTACAAAGCTTATTAGTTTTGGGCTGCAGTTGCATCCATGTTGGTAATACTGGCTGTCATGGAGAGAGGAGCATGGCAGATCACCTGGCACCATGGGGACAGTGTCTAGAACTGATTCCATGTCAGATGCACAGGAGAATGCCACACAGTCCTTTTTTTTTTTTTGGTACCAGGGATTGAACTCAGGGGCACTTGACCCTGAGCCACATCCCCAGCCCTATTTTATATTTTATTTAGAGACTGGATCTCACTGAGTTGCTTAATACCTTGCAGTTGCTGAGGCTGGCTTTGAACTTGTGATCCTCCTGCCTCAGACTCCTGAGCTGCTAGGATTACAGGCATGTGCCACTGTGCCCAGCTAAATGTCACATTCTTGGCTGGCAATGACAGTCCAACTTCTCTCACTAAATGCTTTCCCTGTGGATGATTTTCTTTATCTTTGTTAATTCCTGAGTGACTATTTTCCTCCATCCAAAACATATTTTATTAAAATTATTAATAGCATACTAATTAAGTATTTAGGATCCAACCTCCTCAAACTTAATGAATGGCTCTGTGATATGTCTAAGTGGTAAGTAGTGGGTCCACTTCCATCAGCCACTGTGGTCTGACCTCACAGAAAACGCAAACAGGGCCCCAGCTTTCTGCATTTTGCAAGGATACGCCATCATGGTGATGGTGGTTAAATCTTCCATCATTCCCAATCATCCCTGTTAAAAGTAACCCACAAACCCAAAGATCCCAGCTTTATCAAGAAAAATCCAGAAGTTCCTTTCAACTTATAAAATGAATTTCAGTGAAAGCAATATGTTAATCCTATACTTTAGCTTCTCGGGAATTAATCAAGACAGGTATCTAATAATGGAACACCATGCTATAATAAAACTTCACTCTAGAAATCCCAACTGATTATAAATTACAGTCACAGCAACTCAGCCACAATGGATGTCTGGGAGACCCTTATGTCCCCCACTATTCCAAACTCCTGACTGCTATCTCCCTCACCCCCAATGAAAAGAGAAACAAGTAGGAATGAAAGATATGTGATCAAGTCTAATTCATGTGCTTTAAAAATTCTCCTTGGATGTGCTGGTGTTAGTGAGAATTCTTCTTATGTTGAATAGGGTCGTGGAAGGCTGTCTGGGGAGCCTGGAGAGAGGAGGGATCCAGAGACTGATCAGGAGAAGAAGGATCCAAGAACTAGCTGGGAAGGAGGCGTGGACTTAAATGAACCCCTGTGCTCTTACACTCCCAAATTCTCTCAACTTAGAACTTAGGGAATTGCTCCACTGGACTCACTGATTTCAGCTGATCAGCTTCTTGGCTAACGGGGAGGAGACATCATCTTAGAAATGTGGCTCGTGGTGGAGACTCTCACAGCCTTCCTGTCTCCACCCATGTGGGATTCCGGTTAGTGGGACAGCTGCTTTCTCTAATTCTTGAACAAAGCCCCAACATTCTTATGTGGAACCACTCCATTTTTACTTTTTTGAAACTCTAGTTCAGCAAAAAGAAACTATTTCATTTCTAATTCCACTTTAAGGGGCATAAGGAAAGTGATTGGGTGGGAAAGGAAGTACTAATTTGAATTCCTAAGAAACTATGATAACATTTAGAATTTATATGTATTATGAGTTTTATACTAGAGCTTATTGCCTGCATGGCAATTCATTTCAGATGAAAGTTTTTAACATACAAACCACATCACTTAAATTTCAAATGAGGCTAGTGAGTATTCAATGTACTGTGCACGTTTCTCCAAATCGCTAAACGTTCTGATTGCACTAGGAATGTTTGAACGACAGCCTGTGAGTCAGCCCTGGATGATGTGGAAGGAGCCTGTGATTCTCATTTTGACTTCCTCGATCTGTAGCTGGGTGACTGTGAACCAGTCACTGGGCTTCCCCAGACTTCTGTATTCTACAGGGAGTTAGTTACACACACACACATACACACACACACACCTCAATGCCCTGCAACTTCCAGATCTTTCTTCTAAATGGGTGTGCCTCTTTTGAAGGCAAGGACAACTTGACAAACAGAAGTGACCTATCACATATCATTAAATAGTTATGTGTCTATATTAATCTGTATAGCAGACAGTTTTAGTTCCACACTCATTTAATTAGAGTCTATATTGAACACCAGAACTCTTTATATTAAAAGCAACAAAATGAAAAGAATTTTGCCTTTTGCTCAAGATGAATAAAAAACTCCATGTAAGATTATTATAGTCATGGGTCTTTTTCTTTCTTTCTAAAAGTTAACTAGCGCACAAAGAAACTCTTCCCATATAACCTGGCTGTGGCCCCAGGAAAATGAAGTCAAGGTCATGGGTCTGGGGCCTATCTGGACTAGCTTGCTCCATTCCATTTGTGGCCATGGGCTGAGACTCTCAGGCATCTCTGCTTTGCTCACTGTCCCTACAAGGTGGAAGGGTGCAGACAAATTGGTTCATGGTTGGAAAGCAAAATTAAAAGCATGCCCTGAAGTTAAGGAGTCAGGATGATACCATCCTCTCACATGCAATATTGTTAAAATAACTCATACAAAAGGAACCTAGCCTCTGATTCTTTGTGACAAAATACAACTTGTTAAAGTTTAGCAATTAGTTAATATGGTTCAGTTGCCCAGGTGAAAACACAGTAGCAGGGACATTATTAGAAAAGAAACCCGCAGCAATGTATCACGCAGTAGTTAGAATATGACAAAGTTAAGAGATTTCTGTCCTCTGAAAGCAAATGCTTTGAGGGTGATGCTTATTTGATGTTGTCATAGTTATATTTTTCAAACTGCAGTCTTGTGTGCATTATTATTCATTTGTTGCCTTTTTAACCTTAAAATGCTGTTAAATCAGGGGACAGCAAACCATCTGGCAGAGGCACAAGACTGGACTCCTGGCACAGAGGCTGCCCTGTCACTCACTAGCCGGAAACTTAATCTCTTACCTTGATATTCCTTAAATATTACAAAATATTTGCAATGGGAATACCCACACCTGTTCTCAACTCTACTTTACAGGTCAATATAGGTAAAAAGCAAAGTCTTTGGAAGACATAAAAACACTTGGAAAATACTTTTTTATAACACAAGTGAAATGAATTTAGGTGAAAAAGCTCAGATCTTCAAAAAATATTATAGATATTAATAGTTCTATCAAGATTTTAATAATTCTATTAAGAATTTTTAATTCAGAAATTCAGAAGAAATAGTTACCATTATTATCATCCAAGCCTTGATTTTAAACACTATAACAAGGCACTTGTTTAATGCTGATGGAAAGGCAAAATTCTAGATACCGAATTGCTTCTACATTTAATATTTGTGACCGCAAGTGTTTGGCTACAAATTGAGGCCTTTAGGCCAAATCTGACCAACAGGCATATTTTCTTTGGGCCCCAAAGTGTTCAGAGCTTTTGGAATTTGAATCCTCTGTGGTTTACTAATCCTTACCACTCTCTATTTTCTGATTCTTTAGGTCAGTGTAGTCCAAAAGAGACACACATGTCATTAAATTTTTTCTAGTAGCCACATTTTAAAAGTAAACAAAACAGGTGAAATTAAGTTTGATAATATGTTTGATTTAACCCAATATACCCAAACTATTATTTCAACCTGTAATTGATATGAAAAACATTAAGATATTGTATTTTTTTGAGCCATTTCTCCAAAATCCAGAGTATAATTCATGCTCTCAGCACCTCCCGGTGGAGAGGGCTGCATCTCACGTGCTCCTGCCCACAGGGCTGGCTGCTGCTATTTGCTGTAGGTGCTTCCCTCACCCAAGTGCCCTCCCTGTCCCTCTGGCAATGGGTCTGAGTGCTGGTCCCTGAACAACAGCAGCGGTATCATTCAGGAACTTTTTAACTTTTGTTAAAAGTGCAAATCTTCGGCTCCACCTCAGACCTACTGAACCAGAAAGTCATGTGTAGGAAGACCTCCAGGAGATCAGGTACATGTTAATATTGGATCTGTGGGCCACTTAATCTGCAACTCTGGCTTAAATGATGATAATCATGATTAACAGGCAAGATCAAATCCAATGAACAACTCAATTGCCCTCAGCTAAAATGTGTTCAGTGGGTCTTTGTGAGGCTTCACTGATCAAGTAAAAGAGACTCCTAAGTATGGTTTAAGAATTGTGCATTTAACTGGGCGTGGGGGCACAGGCCTGTATTCTCAGTGGCTTGGAAGGCTGAGGCAGGAGGATTGCAAATTCAAAGCCAGACTCAGCAATTTAGTAAGGTTCGAAACAACTCAAGTGAGGCCCTGTCTCTAAATCAAATATAAAAAAAGGGCTGGGCAGGTGGCTCAGTGGTAGAGCACCCCTGCATTCATTCCCTGGTCAAAAAAAAAAAAAAATACTCATTAAACTCTGTTTCCTTTACATATTCCGGACTGGCTTAGGGTGTGCCCAGCATGACACTGTCTAGTTAAATGATCCTTGAGCTGTGGGTGGGGTAGAGCTCCACCTCCACATCATCATTAGAACAAAGATCTACCTGGGGAGGGAAAACCTGACTCAAGTTAGTGACAGAAAAGAGCAAAGGATCTGAATCCAGTACATGCTTTACTTCAGAGGTGCTGCAGAGTCTGGCTTTTCATATAACCTTTGTCTCCTTTTCTCTGTCTAGAAAATGATATCGTGATATTTGTGATGGATGATGAGGAATTAGTAATATCTGTTCAGTTGGCCTCACAGTACAATTGAGAAGATCAAATGAGATCACAGAAGTGGAGAGTCTAAGAGGTGCTAGACTGTAGGACTTTTGTTGGTGTTAAACTCACACTATCGTGTATATGGCTCATATTTACCCTGCAAGCAAATGTGGATAAAGAGAGATTGGGAAATTGCACGCAGTGTTGGAAGTGAAAGAAGCTAAGGTACAAGAAGCAAGGGACGGACTTGGGGGAGGTGCGCTGAGAGAGACTGCTAAGAATCTGCTTGGATTGGACAGTTTTGCCAGCTTTGAAAAGTCCTCTTTGAATTCTATATCATTTTAATACATAAATTACCATGTTACTACACTACTGACTGTCATTAAAAAAATCTAGAACGATCTATCTTCTATTATTTACTGCTCCACCCCTTCTCTGTGTTGGCTACTTGAGCTTCCTAACTGAACAGCCTGTGATCAGAGCCACAGAGGCTGGGCCAATGAAAGGTAAACAACACTTTGCCAACTGGAAAATAAGATGCCGGTGACTTCTGCTTCCTGTGAACACGTCATTAGCAATAAATGAGTCACCAGATGTCACACATCAGACTCAAAATTAAGATCTATTCCAAGTATTTGTGTGCAGTCTGAGTAGGAGTTGAAAAGGAACTCTTCCCAAGAGAGCAGCCTAAGATAACACGCCATTTTTGTCTTCTCATAGTTTGACCCTTTCTAAATGTAAAATGCAATGCATTCCTTGGTTTGCAAAATGAAAAAACAACAACAACAACAACGCATTTCTTTTTAGGGCTGAGGAGCAAGCAGCGTGTCATCCTGCAGGCCCAACTGCATAAGGCCAAGGAGGAGACTTTTGAACGTTCTGTGCCACACCAAGACCACCAGCCCCTCTGGTTTTTAACTCTGCTATAGCAATTTCATCTTTTCTCACCTTCACACCTTCATGTTCAGTAGGTGCTCTCTCCTTTTACCACCAGCAACAAAATTGTTCAAGTCAGCAACTGTCAGCGTCAACGCCACTCTTCCTGAACTCTGCCATGACAGCAACTTGGGAGTGCTCGCCTTTTCCCACCAGGTATGACAACTCTCCTCTCGTTCCTCCAGCTAGCTAAACCCAACACTGCTCTGTCCTTGCAGTTACCAGTCTCCAATCTGAAGGCAATTGTGGTCGGGGAGGGAAGCCCACAGTAGGAAACAGAAGAGCACAATTCCACTCGAGCCAGCAGAAATTTCAGATGATAAGCTGGAATGATGGAAATATCTAACACTCTCTAGTTTTTATAAACAAACATTTTTTTGGCTGAACTTCTCCGGCCTAGTTCCTCTGCAATTTCAAAATCTTTACAGTTGCTCAGTTCCAGCTGAGGATCGTGGCTGTTTGAAATCATTTATTTTTTTTTCTCCCCAATTAATTTTGGCTCTTATCTCCCCTAAGATAGGTGAAGCTTATAAAGCAAATTTAAAGAGTGAAAGTGTATTATCATTCTCAAGCCTCCTCTTAGAGAACTATTTACACAGAACTTCTCTACACATAGAAACCCTCCAAAGCACTTTAAAGTTTATTTCTGGATCATTAGCCACTCATCAGATGTTAGAGATGCAGGAGATACTGCCCTTTGACCTTCACATAAAGGAAGACAGAGCATCATTGATTAGTTATGTCAAGGAGGGAAAAATATCAATTTAATCCCTTCAGCTGCAAAACTTTAGCACAAAGTGATATATAAAGCTCCAGCTAAATTTATTTAATGTACAGCTATTTTATTCTCTATTTTTGTTGACAAATAATAGCTCAAGGTATATCATTTATGAGTAAGTGAATATTTGCTATGTGCCAAGTATGGTGTTGTTTCAGTCTTTAAAGAGCACTAGGAGGGAGTACATTATCATTCCTATTTTTTCGCTGAGGAAGCAGGCTCAGAGAACAGGTCCTTACATTTTTGATGTTCTAGGAGGGTATTGAGGCTCCATTATTTTGAATGATTGATAATGTTATCTGTCCTGTGCTTCTCCACCAGGGGATGTTTTGCTTTCTAGGGTCATCTGGCAGTGTCTACACACATTCTTCATTTGTACAGCTGGGGTAGGGGTAGGATGGGGGGGTATCAGTATGCTGACCATTTTACCAATCACGAGACAGTGAGACAGACCCCCCCCACCCCCAAAGAACCATCTGGTCTAAGATGTTAATAGTGTTGCTATAGGGAAACCCTCTTCCGGCCTTACATTTTTTTTTTTTTAAACTTTGTTAATTTTTATCTCTTTTATGAAATGTTAACTATATGTTGCATTTTATAGGTGGCTTTGGTTTTCTGTATTTTATTTTCCCAGGAAAGCTATCGATTTCTCAAAAAGATAAAAACCCTCTCGGGTTATCCCTGAGCAGTCCTGGATGGTGGTGGGTGCTCAGCAGGAGCTCTGAGCCTGGAAACTGACTGAACACCTGCCGTGTGAGGTCATTTTAGAAATTACCCTCTCTAAGCATTTTATGGGAATACAGGATTCTGCGCAGATACACTAGAAGAGTGCATT